ATTCACAACTAATGAGCTTCACTGTTAATCTTGTTACAAAATTTCCTGAAGCAGTAATTAATAGAGTAATAATAAAACCTGGTTCAAAAATTGAAAATTTGGTAAATGGTGAAGTTTCCTCATGCCTATATCCAGCCTTTTTAGCTCATTAAAAAAAATCTTTGCTGTTGTTAAAAAAAAAAAAAAAATTCCGAACCTCAATTTCGAACATTTGGGTCGGCTAGGTGTGGCCAACACAATAATTTTTTTTTTTACTTGGCTCTATCATTAGCACCTATCTAACTACTATCAATATGATGGTGATGATAATGATGATGATCATGACATCACCTTCATGGTGACAATGATAATGATCACAACCATAAAAATAGCATCCTTCATAATCTAAATAAATAAAATGAAAAAAACTGAAATATAAAATAATGTAATCAACACCACCATAACCACCACTATCATCATCACTATTATCAGCACCAGTACAAACAAAACCCCAAATCACCTACATCCATCACAGTTTGTCTAAATAATTACAATTTTTCATATTATTGTTATTATATGTCTTTGCATTTTATTGAACAATATACAACTACGTGTATATAAATCCCATGTTTTATCATTTTGCTTTCCAGGTTACTTAAGACAGTGATAATGGGCTTTTCCATAGCGTCAATTAAACTGACCAATGAGAAAGGTGCACTGAATTTTGGTGCTCTGGATTTTGTACACATCTTGATGATATTGGATACCTATAACACGCGATGTGTCGTACGGCAGTTGTAAGAACATCGGCCGATGAATCCAACTCCACTCTCTGTGGATGGATAGAAGAAGCGATGCCGTCTGCTAATTGTCGTTGGCAGTTTGAACAGATTATCATTAAGAACAATCCCTTGCATGCACGTTGTAGGGTTGAGTTCTCCGTAGAATCGCATCGACTGACAATTGTTGGGGGCAGTGAATAACAAGCTCTAAACATGGGTTATAAAGCAAGCATTGCCCCGTCTATATCATTTACCCTACATCAGTCAGTCATCAAGTGGGTAAAACCACAGCATGGAATGGCAGTAAACTAAGTAAGGGAGTATACAACAACCAATGGGGTGTTAAGCCACAGCACAGAATGGCACTTTCTTTCAGTAGATTTAATTGCTTTTTCCTTGTTCTTCCTTAATGCTTGAATCAGTGTTGTTTTCTTCTGGAATCAAAGCGGGCGTTTCACTATGGAATTGCATGTCAAAGAAATCGAGAGAATTTGTGCTGCTGAGGCGTCGTTGCTTGCTTTCGTCTCGGAGCCTGATCCACATATTTCGGTTACCATCCACTGTGTTTAAAAGAACTTGCGCTTCAGGAAATATGTCGGCAAGAATCCTACAAAACATTTGCAAAAAAACAAATAACAATTTCAATATGCATCAAACACATCTTTTGTACTCTGTACGAAAATAAATGGTCTTGTAGATAGTTTTGAAAAGAACTGCTGTTGTGTATTTTATGCCTTGTTTTATAATAATAATAATAATAATAATAATAATAATAATAACAATAATTTCTCTAAATTGGACTTAAGGGGAATAACTTTTGTGTTATTTTCCCCTTAACATTATGTTTCTTTCTCCTTAACATCATTTAAAAAAAAAAAGTTCTCTAATTGGGGAAATTCCATAGATTGATGCATGAAATATATTGCACATATTTTGCACTCAAGCAAACAGATAAAGTGCCTTTGTAAGTCGTATTGAACACAATAAAAAAACTTGTCTTTACATACATATATTTTTGTTTTTATAATTTATATGTTTGTAGACAATTTCATGACTTTGTAATTATTTCATGACAATAAAATTCATTCTTATTCTTCTGAAAAATAACATAAAATACTATTCATTAGATCTTAATTTTATATTCATAATATTATATAATCCGTGTTATTCAAAGTAAGACAGAAATACCCTCACATAAACATGTATGATCATTGACAGTTAATTGTATTGTCAATTAGAATTAGCCTAGAAAGCATTGATGGGTGGAAACAGAAAATAAAAGCCTGGTAGTATTTGTTGTAGACAAATGATGTGTTATTGTTGTTAGAGGCATTCTACAAACAACGGCATCTCATTGGTCGATTCTCATTAAGCACTCTACTTGCAAAGCCCATTCTGGCCAACACTTTAATTGTTTTCATTTGTAAATTTCTATTCCAGATTACTTTGATAGTGTAATAACAAGCACAGTAATGAACACAAATTAGTTCAATTCTCTCTGAAATAGCATACACCTATGTAATGGGTGTAATAATATTAATAATAATAAAAAAAAAAACAAAAAAATAATAGCAATAAGTTCAATAACAATAAAACTAATAATAATAATAATAAATAATAATAACAACATAATAAAAATAATAATAATAACATAATAAAATAATATTAGCAATAAGTTCAATAACAATAAAACTAATAATAATGATAATAATAATAATAATAATAATAACAATAATAACATAATAAAAATAATAATAATAATAATAATAATAATAATAATATTAAAAAAATTAAAAGTTGACAAAGGCTCTTTGTTATGCCTGAATCGATCACTAGAATTTGTGGTTCTTAACATCCTTTTCTTCTTTTGCAAATATGGCACACTGTCACTCCATCTTTATGGTAACTTTTAGACTACCAGTTTATTCCATTAATCTTATCATTAAAAAGATAAGGGTGGATATGGCAGCTGTAGAATGAATTTTCTGGGGGGAGGGGTAAACTGGGGGCTTGAGCTGGTAGATATGAACAGGGGAGGGTTTGTGATGGGTTATCGGTTAAGACATAAAAAAAAGTAAAAAGTAGTAATAAATAAATAAATAATTAAAATGTGAGAAAAAATTAGTTTTTGTTTAAAAACAAAGTGATATATTAACTAAATAATTATAATAGTAAATATTAACTAAATAAATAAATATAATAAATACTTAAAATAAATAAGTATCAACTTACTGATATACAGGTCTTGCGATGTGATCAAGAAAGTTAAGTTGCAATTCAGGAATAAATGCCTTCTCTCTGTCATACATCTCCAGTGGAGGGATGCCAATGGCCTTCTCCAGGTCACCTTGCGTGAAGAACTCGCGGTAGATTAGTTCCTGTCAGAAAAACACAAGCATGTGACATATTTGTGTGAAATGTGCCCAAATATGGGCATTTCATTCATTTGTCACATAAAATTTGAATGTGGACAGAAGATTCACAAAAAAAAAAAAAAAAAAAAAAAAAAATTGATCAGGGTGGGGCGGGCTGTAAAGTCACCTCCGACTTGCACAAAAAGCAACTGGTGAGGGGATTTTTTAATATTTTGTTTTATTTGGAAGAATTTATTAACAGGTTTGTTATTCCATCAAGTTACCTGACATAGAATGATGGCATTATGTAAGCATTAATCCATTGTTTACACCAAAAAATAATGGTCCAGGCTATAATTCAAAACTTTAGGAAAATAGGGTTCCCAATTCTCCCAAAACTTCTGAATCTGACGGTAATCAGGACATCCTCCCACAAGCAAGCGAGAATCTCCAGGAAAAACACATCTCTTGCAAATTCATAATATTTGCATGTTTTCACTGTTTTATTATCAATTGTCTCACGGTAGTCAGTGCCCATGCCAGTCAGTATGTGCAGAAAATAAATAAAAATGTGTTATGAAAGCTCATTAACCAGATCGGTGGGGGATTCAAGGGGAGAGAATCGGCTGCCCCCAAACCCCTAAATTCTTCAAAATTATAAAAAAAAAAATGCCATTTTCGGCCATCATGAGGTGCCATAAACATAAATTTTCTTGCTCTAGACACTGCATCTGTGAAATTCCTCCCGAGGCCCCCTTCTACTGGGCCATAGAGGATCTCCAGGAATTGACTACTTTCAACTTGGACCCCTAGGGCAACTCTGTGATAGGTACATACAGCAATCTTTTTTGTTGTCTTCCATCCCTTCGTCTGATCTGATAAGTCACAACTTGTCATAAGTAAACACAGCAACAGTTTCCTACATCTTGCATCTTCCTTTTTATATCCCTCTGTAATAAATTAAAAACACAAACATATAAAAAAAAAAAATTTAAAAAGATTACTGAAACAAAATTAAGAAGAGTTTAAAAAACATTATTAGGATCATTTAAAATGTGTGTAGCTTTTACCATCTCCATAGTTATTATTGCTTTTGATTTTTTTTCTCTGAATTTTTCTTTTAAATTTATTTGCTTTATATTGTTGACATTTTGTAAGCATAAATTTCTATATACTTAAAGCTCTGTCCAGATTATATGCCCATTTATAGTGCTCTATATATGGTTATGATGTGATGACATCATGACCATATATATAGTCATGATGCGTCTATATATGGTCATGATGTGCCCATATATAGTCATGATGTGCCTATATATGGTCATGATGTGCTTATATATGGTCATGATGTGATGTCATCATGCCCATATTGTAATTATATGCCTATATATGGTCATGATGTGACTCATCATGACTATATTAGGCATGCAATATACTGAATATACTGAATTCCAGTAGTTTTATCCTGGAAATTGAGACCCATATGTTTTGTCAAAGCATTTTCGGTGTTTGGTATAACTGACAGATTAATTTATAATACAAAAGATGAAAAAACGATCTTAAAAATCTAAATTGAATTTATGAATACACTGAAGTGATTCGATGTCGAATTATAAAACGTGATAAGCTTGACAGGGATGCACGTAGTTGTGGTGGCTGAGGCCCCCATCCACCCAGTTCAATTTGGCCCTCCACTACCCTAATTTACCCAATTTTCCATCCTTAAAATCCACATTTATTATTTAGTGTTTACCACAGTTATCACCCACCAACTCTTAAAATGACTATAAAATTAGTTTTTTGAATACCTACTTAAACCTGTTATTGACAAGAAAAGCACAAAAAGAATGAAAAAGAACAGTGTTTGCAAGTGTGAGGGGGTGAGGTACTGAATGAATACCTTTAGCAATTTTCTTCAAATCCTTGATGATACGTAGATGATGAGCGAGGTCGGTGGCCAGTATAATATCCTGCATTAAATCCAGTACCTCCTGATAATCCTAAAATCATTCAGAAACATTATTAAATCGCAACAGTTAATTTCTTTGATATCAAAAAATTAGTACACTTGCAATTTTTAATACAATTTTACATCTGTTTAGAATTTGTCAAAATTCCTTATCTTTTTCTTTTCTATCCTAAGTTTCTTTTACTTTCTTATATTTGTTATCTTTCTTTTCTTATACCTTCTTTTAATTCAAATCATTTCTTTCCTTTCCTTTCTGATGTTCCTTATCAGTTCTTACCATTACCTTTCTTATGTTTTCTAATCATTTCTTTCCTTTTCCTTTCTTATGGTTAACTAACCGTTCATTCAAACAAGACAGAACAAGAAAGAACAACGAATTGGCAGAAGCAGTTGAAAGGCAACATGCAGCTATGTGAATCTGTTCAACAATGAAGCCTCTGTGGTCTAATGGTTATGACACTCGCCATGACAGCGAGAAGTCGCAGGTAGACTTATAGAACACTATTTTATTTAAACATGAATATTTCGACCTGACCTCTGGTCCTCATCAGCATGACTGATTAACATAATACATGAAAGTTGGCATTATAATATTTGATAAAATTAAATAAATAAAAGTGTTCTAAAAGTCTACTCCGTTTCTTTTTTTTTTCCAAATTTTTTTAAATTTTTGCAGTGGATACATCTGTCTCTTATACACATCTAGATGTGTATAAGAGACAGATATATAGTCATGATGAAGGTTTTAAACAACAGTGGGTTAAATATACAGAAAAATTAATATGTTATATTACAGACATTAAACTAACAACACATAAAACATACAAAACAAAAAAATTAATGTATAAATATAGATAAACAATTAAGAGACCCCAATATACACGATTACTATATGGATTCCTTATCCAACTTTATTGGCTTGACATAAACCACTAAAATCAAATAATATATTTATGATATTTCTAATATAGGATAAACTTACCTGTCTTGATAAAGTCTCAAAAATATTGCATCCCTCTGTGTTTAAAATGCACATCGCCTGAGCAAAGTGATGTCTCTACATTGATAAAATTATATATAAATTATATAAATATGAAGCCCTCTTCACAATATCATTTTATTTGACATGCGAAATATGATTACGTCACATCATGACCTATATAGGCACATTATGGCGTTATGTGCGGGGGTAGGGAAACTTTTGCACTTATATTTATGTCACAACGTATGGTTAATCAAGAACAATCACAGGGAGGATATATGCGTTTTTCTTATAACCTTCTTCAATTATATAGAAACACAAAAATTAATGTATAAATATGAATAAAACAATTAAGTAATTTTCTTCGGGTTCTAATTAAGCTTGTTTTACGAAAGTAATTTTCAATTACAATTCAATTTTCTTTGAGGTGTACGATGTCTTCGCGGTGACGAAAAAATTAGGATTTTTTTTGCACACAAACCTAAAAAAAATCAAGCCAAGCGTCCACTAATTGAAAAATTAATGAATGGTGGGGAATAGGCAAATAACATTGGGAGTTGCAGTGATGACGTCACGATTGACTTTTATTTGACATGCGAAATATGATTACATCACATCATGACCATATACAGGCACATCA